ACACTTACAGCATTATATCATCATAGAAGAATGTGTGAAATTACAGAGACAAGCTGGCACGAGTTACAGACCATGGATTACAAATGAAGTTAAGATGGATATGCTAATCTAAAGAGGTGTGTTTCCAAAGCAGTCTTGAACACAGGAAGAGAGGTGGTGTTTCTTAGGTCAGGRGGTAGAGAGTTCCAGAGGAGAGGTGTAGAGCAGGTGAAGGCCCTGCTCCCCATGGTGGAGAGGCGGGCAGAGGGTACTTGGAAGTTTAGGGAAGAAGAGGATCTGAGAGAGCGGGAGGGGATGGAGATGTGTACGAGGTCAGCCATGTAAGGAGGGGCAAGATGGTGTATAGCATTAAACGTGAGAAGAATTTTGAAGACGATGCGTGATTTGACCGGGAGCCAGTGGAGCTGCTGCAGGACTGGGGTGATGTGGTTATGGGAGGAGGTTTGTGTGATGACACATGCAGCTGAGTTCTGCACAATCTGAAGCTTATGGAGGGATTTGCTGGGGAGGCCAAAAAGAAGAGAGTTACATCGGTCAATCCGTGAGGTCACAAGACTGTGGACAAGGATGGCTGTGGTGRGAGGTGTGAGAGAMGGACGGAGACGGTTGATATTTCTGAGGTGGAAGTAGGCAGACCGAGTAGCATTATTGATGTGWGCAGTGAAGGAGAGAGTGGTGTCGAGGATGACACCAAGACTCTTGACCTGAGGGGAGGAGGTAGAGTTGTTGATWTGAGAAGATTAGATTTTGAGATTGTGCCGACAAGGATGATTTCTGTTTTATCACTTAACGAAATGTTTCTATCAGAATAAAGATTTCCCTTTAACATTTTYAAACAGAACAAGTAAGATAAAAAGCTATTATGTTATTCAGTAAGACTGAAACATTTTACATTAGTAAAGAGAGCAAATGATGAGACAAGCAATGCGTGTTATTTTGTAACCAGACATGGATTTTTACATTGTAAAAACAAGTGTGCATTGCCATGTAGCATGGCTTTGCCTGCAGCATTGGACTTGCAGAATAAGCTTTGACCAGGGTCAAATATGTTTTCTATAACAGCTTGTGCCTGTCACGTCAGCAGGTGTTTTTAATTAAGGTAATTGTGTGACAATATGAAGTTGGAAGAGATTTTTGTTAAAGTAGCAGTAGCTAGATTTGAACCCTYATCTCCTGCATGAAAGCCCACTGTGCTCATCATGAGACTATAGGAGATGTGGCAGAGGACAATCCCAGGGATTGGATTGTATGTATACAGAAAAAGTTTACCTTGCCAATGCAATTATTGACACTGAAGTGCAATATATTACAGCAATAGGACAACATAAAGGCAGTATAACAGTAACACATCAAAATACAGTACAATCCTATTAATATTGTAATCACTGAACTACTGAGTTTAAATATTATAAAACCATGGTGCAGTACCATATTGTGTAGATG